GTGGAACCAGGGATTGAACTCAGGCCCTTGCACTTGCCAGGGAAGCACTTATTCTATTGAGCCATCTCCCTGGCCCCAAAAGAGATGATTTTTTAAAAGAAATTGGACTGTCACATCATGCTCAAAACAGTTTCCAGTTAAGTATAAACTTTATAGAAAGTGGTAAAGGAGAATACTTTTATAACTTCTGAACTGTACTGAGGTTACTTCCTAAAACCCCTCAGCATACCATAGGTGATATAGTCTATGGAGGAAAAGGCAAGTTTAATGTCATTTGTTAATAATGATCTGCCTAGGTGGAAGTTTAAGGGATATTGATGTATTTTGATTGGACCTCCAACTTTTCCCCACAGAATACCTTTATTCCATGTAATAGTGGGGTACCCAGAAAAAAAAAAAAAAAAAGACTGTGTAATAGTGCAGCCTCATTAAATGTTGGTAATTTGGTCTGTTTTTGGTGTTTATAGTGTTTCTTTTCTCACACTCATCCCTTTGGGCTGTTTTTTTCTTGGTAAAAAGCATGATTTTTTTTTTTTTCTAAGATGTTACTTCTAGTCCATGTAATCTCCATCCAGTTCTGTCTAAAGACATCCTTTTGGTTTTGTATTTTGCTCTTCTTTCCCCTGTGGTGCTGGCCCTAACGCCAGGGCCTCCTGTGCACTAGGGGCAAGTGCTCTACCTTAGCCCTGCATACTCATTCCTGAATGATGATGGAGCTGTGGGGAGACCATTAGATGGAGAGTTGTTTTCTTCACTCATTCTTTTTCTGAGGTTGATTCTTCGATATTTGAGAGAAACTATTCCATTGTGCTGAATATCTGTTGCTGCTGATGGGTACCATGTTACTGATCTGATTAGCTGGCTTTTGCAGATTATCTGTGTTCTTTCTGGTGGTAACATTTTTGCTCTACCTTTGAAATTCTCTAAAATTTATCTTTGTTTGCATTGTGTTAGACTTTAGTATACTTTTTAAAAACAAAGATTCATGTCATTAATTCTGAAAAATATCCTGACATTATTTCTTTAATGATACTAGCTTTCTTCTAGTTTCTCTGTTTTTCTCCTGAAATTCCTTTAAAGTATATTTCCCTTTTTTTTTTCTTTCTTCCCTTTTTGTTTTTTGAGTCAGATCTCATGATATAGTTCAGATTGGCCTTGAATTCACTATGTAGTCCAAGTTGGCCTTGAATGCTTGGCAATCCTTCAGCCTTGGTGCTGGGATGTGTCACCACACCTGCTTAAGATGTATTTTACAGGAAGCTGGGGAGGTAGCTCAGAGGCGTAAGCGCCTGCCTGGAAAGCACAAGGTCCTAAGTTTGATCTCTGGTACCCAAAAAAAGGGTATTTTTTACAGTTCATTATTCTATCCTCACAGCTTAACTTTCATATTTTCTTTCCCTTTCTCTATGCTACTTTGTGCTTTACTTAGTTCTTTTTTTCTAGTGTACTATTTCTTTCTTACACTGTCTGAATATTCATCTATTGAACTTTTACTCCAGATACTTGTCCTGTTTTATAAGCATTTTCTTTCAAATTTATAGAGAATTGAGGGACCTGATCCATAAGCTGCACGCTTGCTCTTTCCGTGATCCTATCCCCTTGTGTTGTGATTCCTGTGCCCTCATACACCCGACTGCACTGAGCATGTGTATACAGAGGCATTGAGGTCTGATGGGCTGGTTTCCTCTTGGTGGTTTGGTTCTTCATATAGTTTGAATTTTTAGCTGTGAATTCATCCTCCAAAGTTATTTGTGGCAGAGTTCTCTACACGGGTCTCTGAGGCAGTCCTTCTTTCTCTGCTTCTGCCCCAACCAAGTTGGCGTGAGACAAGTAAGCAAACTGTTGGTGACCTCATGGCTCAGAAGCCCAGTGCTGACCTGGACAGTGCTCTCGTGACTGGAACCCTGCGTGCTCTGGGAATTCACTGTGCTGACTTACGGGTTCAGCCCGGTGTGCCTGCTGGGTCCTGCTGGCCAGAACCCAGGGCATGCGCAGTGCTTCTGTTCTAGGTGTTGGGCTCTGTGTGCCAGGGTTTCCCCTAACCCAGAGGGAGACCTGGAGCTTCACTCCTGGTGCTTGTCTTAAAATCCCAGAGGTTTAGGTGCATGCTTAGAAATAAATATGAGACTGAATAGATGTTAACATCTTGCTGTATTTGCTTCAGATTTTTCTTGTAAAAAAAAAGAAATACCATACATAAAGCTAAATCCCAGCCCAGCTCCTTTGTCTTTCCCTTCCTTTCCTTTTCCTTTCCAAAAGTAATTTTTTTTCTGTATTTCTGTTATTTAAAAATTTTACAGGAGTAAAATTTAAAACATCCAGTTCATATTCCTTTTGACCTCTTTTCACCCAAGTTTGCTTTCTGTATTTATTTGTATAAATCTTCTTTATCCTTAAAAATTAGTAAGTGGTATTTCATTATATAAATAAACCATATTACATTCATGTGCTAAGGGGTAATTGTTTTATGTTTCATTATTGTGTCAGTGTTCTAGTGAAATTCCTTTTGTGTATGTATGTGTTTTACATCTAGAAATAGAATCCCCAGGTCTGTGGTGACCAGGCTGTGGTCCAGGTGTTGCCTTTTTTTCTTAAGACAAAACATGTTAATATAATAGGAGTTGTTTTTTCTAAACTAAAACCTCAATATTAGGTTTATTTTCAGTGCTGGTACTTTGCAACAAATAAATAGATTAGGGGTTGCTGATCTCTAAAAAGTTCACTACCACTGCCCTAGGTCAAAGATACACATATTTTTACTTCCCTAGAAAATGACTAATTGTTGCCTAAAAGTGACTCTTGTGATATAGTCTTAGTGGCAACATTTAGTGTCTGTTTTTCCAACTTTTCCAGCATTTGATAATCCATATTTTTGTTTAGTTTATTTTATTATTTTTTTTTCTTTTTAAAACTTCTTTATTCATTTTAATGAGAAAAATAGCAATGAAACAGTTTCAAAACAGGTTATTAGGACAGTTACAATAATTAATACATTGCATATTGTTGTCTTTGTAGTATTCAGAGGAGAAGATGCAGACATGATATCTTGTCTAAACAATAGTAGTACAAACCTTTCTTCTCATTGGACTAAATTCAGCTTCTCTAACAACAATGGAACACCCATCGTGGGCCTGGGCTAGGACTGGGTCCCATATTTTTGAGACAGGGTCTCTTTCCCTAGTGCACATTGGCCTTAAACTTGCTTATAAAGCCCAAGCTGGCCTTGAGCTCAACAGTGATCCTTCTGCCTCAGTGTCCCAAGTGCTGGGATTACAGGCATGGGCCACTACACTCAGCTTATTTTTATCTTTATTTTTAGATCTAACACATTTTGCCCATTAGATTTTCTAATATACTTACTTTTTCTCTTTTGATTTCTTTTCTGAAAACTAGTTTTACATTAAATATATTCCATAGGCCAGGTGTGAGTCTGGAAAGTGGACACATTAGGATTCTTATCCTGGGTGGCCTGACTGTGGAAGGTGCTGTGGTAGACATTGGGGGTGAGGGCTAAGACACGAGGGCGAGGCTTCTAGCCCCAGCAGCACTTAATGACCAGATGATTTCTTTTTAGCACATTCACACAGGGCTGTAATACGTATGTCTCCCTCCGTTCTGGACATTTGAACCACCAGTTGTGCTTGTGTGTGACATGAGTTGGGTTTTTCTTTTGTCAAAAACAAAATGTAGTTAAATTTTTTAAGCTTTTTGTTTATTTGGTGTATTACTGAACTTGAACCCCAGCAGCTTTGTACTGATCTGCATCCCCAGCCTTTATTTTTTGTTTTGAGACAGGATCCTGCCCAAACTAGCCTTCAACTTGTGATTCTCCTCTCAAGTATCTGAGATTACAGGCTGTGTTACCATGTCCGGCTTTCCTTTAAGCTATCAATAGCGAGGGAGATAGCTCAGTGGCATAAGCGCCTGCCTGGCAAGTGTAAGGTCCTGAGTTCAATCTCTCATACAAAAAAAAAAAAAAGCTATTAAAAAGTACATAGATTATATGAACAACTCTTACAAGATCTGTTTTCATGCCCATTTGTTTTCCAGATATCCAGTATACAGAATCCCCTTTGGCACCTACTTTCTGCACTCCTGGTTTGAAAGTTTCTTTTATAAAGAACAACACAGCTTTGGTAAATTTCTGTAAAACTGAAAACTCTATAGTCTTCTGATGACTCAAATACAATACTAGTTTCAAACACATGTATTTTAAATACACATGTTTTTAAATAATAGAAATACCAAGTTTGTTTCCTCTAAATTTTTCTAGTTAAATTTAACAATAACCAAAAGTTTATCACTTTTTAGAGTCAGTAGTAGCACTTAAAACAACCAGTACTATAAACAATCAATATTGTATTTGGGTTTCCAGTAGAATTGGAGATAAAGATTGAAAATGTTTCATTATCTGCAATGTTTATTATGTTTACTAAGTACATATAGTTATTGAGCACCTAAAATGCATCAAATGTAGCTGAAGAACTTTCATTTAAAAAAATTTGCTGAATAGTCCCTTATGGTTTGGATAGTATCATGGTCAGCAAAGCTATAGATAAAGCACTGCGCCATCTGTTCCTGTATGAGATTATCTGCCTGTTGGTAGCTGGTTTTTACAGTTAATTTGCTTCTTATGTTTTGATTCCAGTAGAAGGTATCATGTCGATGTGATACTCCCAGGCCCTCTCTTTGTAAATAACTCTGCTCCTAGGGAGACAAAGTGACTTCCCGGTATGGTGGCCTGGTATGAACACATTGCATTTGAGCTTAGTGCAGCACTACTGTACTTAGAAGAGCTGCAGAGAGCCTGTGCAGTTGTTGGTTCATGTAAGCTGGGACTGTCAGTTGGCCCAGTTGAGCACTGCCTGAGACAGAGTGGGTGAGGCCATTTAGATTGGGCTGGAGCAACATTTCATGCAGTTCTTACCCTCAGTCTTTATTAGTAATGAAGATGATATTTTGTTTCCACGTGCCATTTCTTTATATTTCTAGATTTTTGTGTAGAACTTGGTTAGGGAAAGAGGAATCATTTGGGAGCTGGGAGAGAATCCCAACAACTTTTATTTACACCATAATGTAATGATTTCTTTTTAATTTTGTAGGTATCCACAGATTATCCATTATCAGAAACACACAGTTCATCAAATGATTTTGAAGTTAAAGATTCATTAGTTTTAAATACAGACCAATGCTTGCAGAATTTTGCAGATCCTTCCTCTCCTACAATTTCATCTTATGAGAATCTTCTCAGAACACCTACACCTCCAGAGGTAACTGCTATTCCAGAAGATGTTCTCCAGGTAATATTTTCAGGCAGGATTTTTTTTTTTTTCCTGATACTGTTTTCAAATTAGATACTTAAGACCTGAAATTGCATATAAAGTGTAATATTTATCATCAAGGTAATTATTAATTTTGGTATTGAAGAAAATACAAAAATTCTAGGCTGATAAGACCTTCTAAGACCACCTGGTTAAACTTCTTCCAAGCTGTGTACAAACCAGTGACTTGCTGTATTTTTAGTGATGCTAGCTCCCTAGAGACATTTTTAATAACTGTCCTATAAATAGTTCTGGTTTACAAATCACCACGGGAAGGACAAATTACTTGGGAATATACCTAAATACCATCAGAGCTGGCCCTTCCTGTGATACAGAAATATCTATTATCCTGGTTGTTCTTGTTTGTTTTTGATATCTTGGGAAATAAAGTAAACAGGGTAAAGAAAGAACATCTTCTGCATGGTAGATTCTTCTCTGATTTATTTGTGAAAGGAGTGAAACCTTGGTGACGTTTTAGATTCTTTTGTACTCATGAGTGATGGTCTTTCTTGTGAAGATTCATTTTAGATTTTTCTTCAATGTATTTCCCTAATGTCCTTGTAGAGGTTTAATTTGCTCTTGGGTGTATTGCTTTGTTTCCATTAACCTAAGATAGAGTGCATTTTGGAAGGGTCTAATTAATAGTCACACTTTCACTTCCAAGTTAAAATTCTGGTAGCTCCATGTTTTATTGCTGTTGAATGTGTATACTGCTAAAAAATATTCTAAATATTTTAAGTAACCTTTATCTTTACATTTTCAATGGCTTTCCTTGAATGTTTTCATAATACTTTCTAGATTTGTGTCATTTGAATAACTTGATTAAAAGGGCTTTATTTTTAATTTTAGATTTTGTCAAAATACAACTCAAACCTCGCTACTCCTGTAGCAGTGAAAGCAGTTCCTCCCAGGAAAGGGTTTCCCAGACCTGACAGGTGGAACATCCAAGAGGTCGGCAACAAAGAAAACTGGTGAAAGTGAGTACACTATCATTTAAAGAAAGGATGTGTGTTATTTGAGGAAGACATTTAAAATAAATGCTAGTAAAAATGTGTTTTTAGGGGCTGGGGAGATAGCTCAGCAGCGTAAGCACCTACCTGGTGAGCACAAGGTCCCAAGTTTGAGTCCCTGGACTACTCATGCTGTGCCAGCCCCGAAACCAGGCATGGTGGTGTATGCCTGTAATCCCATCTCTGGGGAGACTGAGATAGGAGGATCACTATGAGTCTGAACTGTGTAGTAAGACCCTGTATCAAATAAATTTTTTTAAGTGTGTTCTTAACTGACATATGCCAGTTTAGATTAATAGCCTGTTTTCTATCTTTTTTTTTTTTTTTTTAATAACATATTTGGTGCAGATTCTCACTATGCAGCTCAGACTCTTAGTGATCCTCCTCTTTTCAGTCTCCCAAACACTGACATTACAAGTATGCGCCACCATTCCCAGACTCAGTGGCCAGCTCACTGTGCCCGGGGGCAGGACCAGTGCAGTCTGTGTTGCCAGGGATTGAACCCCTGTCTCTGTGCTTGCCTAAGCAGGTGCTTAGTCCACTGAGCTATATCACCACCCCAGTTTTCTGTCTTTTGATGCAGAAATTGTGGGCTGTGAGTCTCAGATCCCCAAGTTACCATGTTTAGTGATCTCAGTGGGAATCTATTCCCAGCTACAGTGATACCTTAGTTCACAAATGCTTATGTTTGCAAACAGAAGTATTTGGCAAAAATTTCATGTTTGTTTACAAACTAATCAGGAAAAGATTGGCCATCTTTTCCAGAATCATTGGAAATTAAGTTTGTGAAATGAGGTACAACTGTACTTTATAAATGTAAAACATATACCACTATGTTGTCATGTATTTTTATTGATGGATTTTTATTATATTTATTTGATACTTTAAATTTTTGTCTGTTTACAGAAATTCTATTCATTATAGAAACTGAACAGAATAGAATGGAGCACAGCTGGACTTATTTTGTTATTTACATTCCCTTCCGACACTTCCTCTGACAACCAACCCAATAGAGAACATGGACATTGATACCATAATGTGCTTTTTATGAAGTCAGGAAGTTTTGATTTGAATCTTGGTCACATGTATCTCAGCAACTCAGATTTTCAAGATTACTGTTTATATTGCTAAATTACTGTTTATTGTAACAAAATGGCTTACATAATACGAAGTGCTAGAAGTAGGACAAGTGGTTTTTAAAAATATAAATGCTAATGTCTGCCTGATGAGGCCTCCCTGACCTTCTCATGGCCAGGTGGTTGTTGCTGTCAGCTCTCTCATTCTGTTGTCTCCCTTCATGACTGTCCTAGTTTCTTACTTTTATTTAATCAACACTCTTTTAAGAGTGCTGCTCTTTGCAAACCAGAGACAGGTGAACTCAGGAAAAAGGGGTTAGGTTTCATTCTTTAACATCAGCCCCATCCACATGTGGCTGCTGCTCGTTTCTCTGGCCCCACTCTCCAGTTGGTTCTGATGTAGGTCCTAAGCCTCACAAGGATGTCCTGGCAGCTTGGCCTGGCCTCTTGGGTCCTTTTAGGACATGGCCCCTCAGGACCTAGGAACTGCCTGATAGGTTTACCTGTGGAGTCCATCAATCCTGTGATTCTTCTGATTAAGACAACTAATCAGAGAGCAGTTACCATGGTTCTGCTGCAAAAGCTTTTCAAGATACAGCCAGTAGATAGTAAGGACCCTTGGTTCTGTAGAGATCAGTTATAAATGAAGCAACAACTGACAGGCATCATGTGGAAGTACCTGAGAGGATTAGCTTTCAGGAATTTGAAGAGATGAAAAATTACCTTTGTATAACTTCTCTGAATATCAAACAGATTTTTTTTT